GCGAGAGAGAGGAGCGAGTCTGTCCCTCTTGCACTCGCGCACGCCATGGGGTGTGTCGCCAGGTGTCGCCAGGTGACGGTTCCGAGACGGTTATGATGACCGATGAGGTGGGAATGGACCGCGCCGAGTCACTGCTGTCTGCGCTGCTCTATAGCCGGGCACGCCGTTGTCTCCGCAGCTGCCGCAGCTGCAGCTGCCGCCGCCGCTGCAGCCACTCTCTCGCAGCTGCCACGCGCGGCGCGCCCGGGGAGATTGATGGCCGCTGCTGGTGATCGACTCGCGCGTGTGCGAGCGAGAGGGGCGGCGGCCGTATTTCAGTGGCGTGGCGCTGGCCGTGTTAGCGGATATTGGCAAATGGAGCGTGGCTGTTGTTGGCGATGACAGCTTCTCACAAGGGGGTGGGGGAGGGGAGAGGGAGCCTGCTTGCGCCGGGGTGCGTTTAGGCCCGCGGGGGGAGTACTCGCTCCCTCAAGCCATTTTCTATTTACCGTGTATGTGTACGTTTTGGTGGTGTGGCTGTTGCTGTCTGCGCCGCACGAAAAAAATAGCTAAATTAGCTAATGCATTCACTGATATGGCCTTAGATTAGAATATTAGCTTTCCTAGCTAATTCCCAGCCAAGAAAGATAAAATAATAGCTTCCACAGCTAGTTGCTTTATTTTGTAGACAACTGTCATGGCTAATTTATTAGCTCTCCTAGCTAATTCTTAGCTATAGCTCTAATCTAAGGCCATATTAGCGAATGCATTAGCTAATTCTATTTTTCCTTGCGCGGTGGCAGCGTGCAGCCGGGCCGGGATGCCTGTCGGGTTTTACAAGGTCTTGACCTCGTTTATTATCTCATTTCATCATTTTTTTGTACTAGAACAGTCAGACCATGTTTTCAATTTATTTTTAACCCCCCCCCCCCTCCCCACCCCTCTTCTGCTTCGGCATAAGAATAGCGCGGACGTTTGTTTATCGATGCTTAAATTTAGAATTGGAAGGGCGAAGGGCGCCCCTCCCCCCTCGCCCCCCTCGCCCACGGCGGCGTGGCTCCGGAGCACAGGAGCACGCCCGGGGGTAATGAGGCAGCTGATTGGCGTGGGCAGGCTAGCCGGGGGTGGCTGGGCGCGTGGCTGGGG